ATCCTGGGAGCTCTATGTTCACCACCAAACCATGGCCCTATGCACCACATCTTCACATTTTTTTGTGATTCCATCATTTCCCTGGGCAGTCTGTTCCAATGCCTGACCTCTCGTTCAGTCAATAAAATTTTCCCAATATCTAATCTAAACCTACTCTGGCACAACTTGACAACATTTCCTCTTGTCCTGAATTGTCCTGAATTGTCCTGAATTATTTTTTTCTGTGGCTGTCTGTCTCAGTACCAGCCAGGCTGTGGATCATTTTCTGCCAGGTTAGGAAGTGAGGTCAGTTCAGTAAGGAGGAAATGTAGTGGTGGCACTGGGAATGAGCCTCTTCCAACCTGTGCAACCCACCTCAGGTAACTCCACTTCTATGGTGAGCATTAACAGCAAAACTTATGGGAAATTTGAGAGCAATTTTTTGATACTAAATGATAATCCCAGCAAACTATGGGCAAATGTGTTATAGGCAGAGTAATAAACAGGCAGTGCCTGACACTTTAAGCTGAAAAAGTAAGAGGGTTTTTATTAACATATTACAGCAAGTGCTGGTTTGTGGACAGGCTGAGGCTGAGATTAAAGGATCCCTACAGACAGCTCAGGGAGAAATACAGCTGCTTAAATCCAAATGTGTGGTCCTAAATGCCTCTGATAGCACTCTGCCATGCCTAGGGAAATCTTTAACCCTTGTGTATACCCCAGCATGGAAGGAGGAGGAGGATTAAAACTTTGATTCTTATTAAATTGAAATAGGTCACTTCTTGCTCAGTCATTTGTTGCAATTAGCATCTAATTTGGAGACACTTTCCTCTCATGTAAATCACTGTGTGGGCAGCCTGGGTGCCAAACAGAGGATTGTGGGTGCCACAGATGAGTTTCAGGGTGCAAGCCATCAGGTTCTGGAGCATTTCTTGTATCAGCTGGGGCAGAGATTTTCTCAGGCCCCTCTATGATTTTGACATGCATCTCCTGAGTATAGACCTGACATTTTCTTTTCAAGCTACAAAATGATAAAATTATAAGCTACAAAAATATAAAACTATCTATAGATTATTTCTGTTTTCTTTAAATTTTATCTTTCTTACCTGTTCAGCAATCTGATACAGCAGAGCAGGTGGACAGTGACATAAACTCAGGAAATCCATCTGAAAGTAGCCCAGTTAGAGTTAGTACTATGTTCATTTCTTCATTGTATAACACTTGTCTAAAAAGCTTATCTGTGCCTAAATGTTGCTGAGAAAATCAATAAGGATTATCTCCATACAAGTAGAAAAGGCAGCACCTTTCTGCTCATATGATTAATATTTCAAGTGCAACAGTCCCATTTTTTAACATCATTGTCAAGGACATCAGATCTAGAAGAAGAAGAAATTCAGTTCTGCCTGCCACAAGATTTTTCCAGCAACCATTAAGGAACATTCTCTTTGTAATGGCAAGAGGCAGGATACTGCCTTTTCTGAGCTGTCCACATCACCATGTTCCTCTTAAACCACTGCACAAGTGAGATCATTCTTGCACTCAGAGAAGAACTTATTCCAAACTAATCTTTGGTCAGGAAGTTGCATCAGTTAGGCCCTCTCTAACTATTTATCCTATCCTATCCTATCCTATCCTATCCTATCCTATCCTATCCTATCCTATCCTATCCTATCCGTCATCTTGTGTACTTTTCCACAATGAACATAATTATATTTCAGGCCCTGTCCCACAGCAGCCAGCTCTCTGCAAGGAGCTCCCTCAGGAGTAGGTGAGAAGGAGGAATGGGGAACAATCCCTTTCCACAAACCTCCCCATGGCCTGTTCTTGTTTGCTCTGGACCCTTGCTAAAGGTAGGCAGGGTTATCAAGGGTTTCACCTTGAAAGGTGGAAGGAAGCAAGAACAGGATGTGCTAGGAGGAAAACTGCTCTGCTGTGGGGATCTCAGGGATGACAGGAGCTGTCAGAGACAAGGAAAACTGCCTTCCAATATGTTAGGAAGTGTATGTTATAATGACTTTTAAGTCTTTTACCAGCACTGATTGCAACATGGCTCTTTGGTGTCATAGTCAGTCACTAACTATTTCTCATGCCCTAGAAACATCAATAGCTGGGCCTCACATAAAGCAGTGGTTTTAGACTGCAGGGCACAAGATTGTGTCTCCACACATTTATGGAATATCTCCAGCGAGGGAGACTCCATCTCTCTCTGGTCTCTGTTCATGCTTGGTCACTGCACAGGAAAGAAGTTCTGACTCCTGTCCAGGTGGAACTTGCTGGGCTCAGTCCCTGCCCGTGGCTCTGGTGCCATTGCTGGACCCTGGAGCAGAGCCTGGGCCCTGCTCTGCCCCTCCCTGCACACAGGGACACCCAGGGCTGAGGGCCCCTCTCAGCTGTGCCTCCTCTCCAGGCTGAACAGCCCCAGCTCCCTCAGCCTTTCCTCCTCAGGGAGATGCTCCAGTCCCTCCATCATCTTTGTCACCCAGTACTGGATCCACTCCAGGAGCTCCATGTCTCTCTTGTCCTGATGAGCCCAGAACTGGGCACAGCACCCCAAATGTGCCTCACTGGGTCTCCTTGCTCACAGAGCACACTCCTGGGTCATGGACATCTTGTTATCCACCAGGACCCTGAGGTGCCAGAGGTCTCTGTCTCCTCCCCCAGAACAGGAGCATCCATGGATGTGTGTCCAGCTGCATGGATGTGCCGTGCTTCAGTACTTTCATCTGAACCACCAAGTTTGTTACTTAAGCCATCACAACATCCTCTCACATCTGAGGGACTCACTGAAGAGAGTTTGTTTTGGCAAAATCAGTTCATGAAGGATCCATGCTGATATTTAATATTCTACTGGTTAGAAAATGACAGGGAAGAAATTTGTTCCATTATCTTCCTGGAGATCTAAATTAGGCTTATGAACTTTTCTGCCCTGGATCAGATGTATGATTATTGATTTTTACCTTATTACACTACTTTTTTCCTCTTATGAGTGACTGAGAAATGAATTCTTGTGGTTTGGCTTGCAGAAATCACTGCAGGAAAGACATTGAGGGACTGGAGCATATCCAGGGAAGGGAACAGAGCTCGGGAAGGCTCTGGAGCACAGGTCTGAGGAGGAGCAGCTGTAGGAACTGGAAAGGGGCTCAGCCTGGAGAAAAGGAGGCTCAGGGGGGATATTCTTGTTCTTTACAACTCCCTATAAAGAGGTTGTAGCCATGTGGCGCTCAGTCTCTGCTCCCATGTAACAAACAATAGATATGAGGAAATGGCTTCAAGCTGTGCCAAGGGAGGTTTAGATTGGACATTGGCAAAAAGTTTCTCCACAGAAGGGGTTGTCAAGCATTGGAACAGGCTACTCAGGGAAGTGTTGGAGTAACCACCCCTGGAAGTGCTCAGGAAATGTGCAGTTCTGGTTGTTAGGGATGTGGTTTAGTGATGGACCTGGCAGTGACAGGTAAATGTTTGGACTCAATGCTCTTGGAGGTCTTTTCCAGCCTTAATGATTCTATGATTTCTTGACCCATCATTCATGGTAAAGGAGTCTCTTGTGAGTGAGGGCAATTGTTCTGCCCACTTCCTTATTGATAACAACCCCGGATTAACTATTGCAACACAATCATTCTTACTTGGACCTGTGCTAATTATTTCAGAATGTAGTAAGTCATGTTCCAGCATTCACACCTCTCCCCTGGCATTGCTTAATTTACTTTTAGAGCTGTCTCCAGCTGAGAGGGCAGTGTGCCATGGAGGGGGAAATGGTGGAGATGAATGAGGAAAAAAATCCCAACACAAATAATAAGCACGTTGAGTTGTGAAATGGAACTTTTAAGTTAATACTTGTCTTTCACACTAGAAGAAACGCCACTGGAATGAAGGAGTCAAATGTGTGATGAAATTATTCTATGCCAAGGGCTCTGGGACTTGCAATCCTAATTATGACAGCAGCTTCCTTACTAAAAGGGGACTGGAATGTGCAACCTTTCTAAGGTGAGACTGAAATAATATTTAACCCCATTGTTAACTGCACAGAAAAACACCTGTATCCCAAAGGTCACCGAGTGGGGATTGCAGGTTATTTATGCTAATTGTTGTTTCTCTCTGAAAGGGAGTCTGATGAAGGGTTGCTTGCCTGACTTCTGTTTTTGCTTAGGAAATCTTCTCACATAACCTGATTCTGCTCATGCTGCTAAATATTTAGGCTCCCTTCAACACCTAATGCTAATAAAGTCACAACTTTGGTGAAGTTTAGAGAATTTTATTTCATGGCAATAAGAAACAATGAAAATTATGATGAAATGGTCAGTGAGGAATGAGTAATTTAATGACTGATAGAGTGAAAGAACATATTAAAAAAAATTGAAACACATGTCTACTTGTTATGAAAAATAAAGTTTCCAAATGCAGGGACCTCCCCCTTTTGACTATGTTTTACTGTGAATTAAGCTCTTTTCTCAGACAGTCCTTTTTCTTTACAAGGCAGGTTTGGTTACCTGTATTTAAATGCAATCTTACACTATAAACAGGATTCTTAATTTAAATTAACTACATTTGGTCTGTTTTTTGGGGATATTTTTTGGTTTTTTTTTCACAACTGAGCATTTTACAGTAGAACATATGTCAGCAACAGATTCTAAACCAGAATAGATCTACAGGAAACTGCTCTGCTCTCCTAATTTCTTTTAAGAATTACACATTTCAAGCAATCCTGTTTATCTTCTGGTCCTGTTAACAGTACAATAGTTTAAATTTTCAATCAAGTTAAAAGCAGTTACATGACCAAGCACTATCCATCTATTCCAAGAACATAGTAAACATATGGAACCACAGACCTTTAAAAATGTTTATTCGATAACATTTTGGGAAAAGAAAGATGATAAAAGCTAATAATTAAATATATCTGGCAAACAAACAAAAAATTTAAATTAAGATTTCTACCATGTTCTGGACCATTATATAAATAGAATATGTACATCACCTACAGATTTTTTTTGTGAGTCACTGTACTGAAGTCAGTCCTTCTGCATATGTTGGAGAGGCAGGATGGAATCAGTGTTTGTGGAGGAATTCATTGAGGAGATGGATATCCAGGAAGGTAAATGTTGAACCTCTTATTTTATTCCAGTTTTGCATTGACAGGAGCAGAGCAGTGGACTTGACCAAGATCTGGGCACACCCTGGACACTTTGCCAGGAATGTTGGACTAAAGTCTCTTCAAACTTTCAAGGTTTGGCTGAAAACGATTTGAAACACAAAATTAATCATGAGTGGGAAGTGAAAACCTGCATCATGTCCTTTCAGAATAATTTTTCATCAACATTATTTTCTATCTGTTTTCTTCTCTGTTGCCATTTACTCCCCAGCAGCATCCCAACCATTAATTTGACCACTCAGAGAAAATAGGTGGCTTTCTCAAGGAGATTTTTTACTTATCCATAAAGGCATTGGAAAGCTTTATTTCTTTATGTGCAGCCTGTGATAAGAATTTGGTTAATTCAATAACTGAAGATATTAACTAAATCTTGCATTGTGAGAATCAGCCCATATATTTTTATTTCCTACCAGAATTCTAAAAACTAAGGTTTGCCACTTGCTCTTATCAAGTGTGTTGCTACTTCCATTTAATCTGCCATCATTATTCAGAGGATGAAGAATAAAAAAAGGTAAAGAAGTTCCCTCCTTCCCTAGAATTTCTTAGGTTAAGGATGAGATTTATCTCTCCTGGGCATGGAAAAGTGTTATCTCACCTAGGTAAAGCAGACAGGATGGTGAAATGTGATTCTCTGATAGTGCTTTGGCCCTAGTATTTCAGTAAATATTTTTTTTATTTAATTTGCATAAATTAATCACAGTTTAGGGTTTTATTTAAGCATCAACTTTATCCATGTCACAATCAAAATACTTGGAACTTACTGCATAGTCCATCCTCACAAGCATTGGGGCAATCTCCACAGGGCTCTCCTTCCTTGTAGGGTGTCTTCATTGAACCTATTAGGTTTCCCCTGAAACATCAATGTTACCAACATCATCTATGAAGTCACTACACCATATGTGAGAGAAAAAATAAATTATAAAGAGGTTTAGATTTACACTCAGTTACTTCTGTAACTTACTGTTACATTTATGCTGGGTCCTTGGTTATATGTCAATTTTTACAAGTGTGCCAGGTTTATTTGGAAATGCTTTGGCAGTGGGCAGAGAGGGGGAGGAATTTGCAGGGAATTTGCCTTTGTGAGAGACACCAGAGGCTGTCTCTGTTCCAGACAGGGCCAGTGTTGGCCAGCTCCAAGTTGGACCCATGTGATGGAGATGTGGCTCTGTGATAACACAGTCAAGGGAGGGTAAATTCTGCATGCAACAGCAACCAGAATAAAGAAATGAGAATATGTGAGAGAAATCACCCTGCAGACACCCAGGTCAGTGCAGAATGAGAGGCAGGAGGTGCCCTGGGCACCTGAGCTGAGGTTCCCTGGGGCAGCCCATGGAGAAGCACCAGGAGCAGCCCATGGATGTCCATGGGGATGCAAAGATCCACCTGCAACCTGTGGAGCAGGAGGATGCCTGGAGGAGGCTGTGATCCCATGGGAAACCCTTACTGGATCAGCACCTGACTGGATTTGAGGCCAATGTGGGGGACACAGACTGCAGCAATCCAATCCTGAGGGAATGGAAGCATGGAAGGAATCCATGCTGGAGCAGCTCAGGAGGAACTGCAGCCTGTGGGAAGGGCCCACACTGAAGTTCATGGAGGTCTCTCCAGTGAGAAGGACCCACAATGGAGTGGGGGAAGAGCAAGGGGAGGAAGGAGTGGCAGAAATGGCTCAAGATGAACCAAGCAGAGCCCCCAGTCCCATCCCATCATGCTGCTGAGGGGGAGGAGGCAGAGAAAACCAGGACTCAAGCTGAGCTTGGGAAGAAGGTGCTTTAGGTTTGTTTTACTTCTTATTATCCTAGTCTGATTTGATTAGTAATAAATTAAGCTAATTTTCCTAAGCTGAGTCTCTTTTTTCCATGACAGTAAGTGGTGAGTGAACTCCCCTGACCTCATCCTGACCCATGAACTTTTTGCCATATTTTTTAATTACTCCATCCTGTTGGGGAGAAGAGTCAGAGAGGCTGGGTGAGCTACTGATGGTCAGTCAAGGTCAACCCACAACACGGTATTGTGAATGTGTAAAGTAATTTTAGGCACTCTTTGAAATCATCACTTTACCTTAACATTCTGGTTAAAGTTTTTTGGTATTAATTATAGTCTTCACTGTACTGTACATATTGGTACACCTTTCTGAACTGACATTTCAAGTAGAATGTGCAAAATATTTATTTCTAATTAACTATTATGAAAATTAGGATTTTTAGGCAAGAGACATTTAATTTAAAATCAGCGTCCCTTTAATATATTTTATGCTTTTCTTGTTTGACAACTCTTTTCATGTGTGTTTCTGTCCTTTCCTATTCCTAATGCAGTCTTCAGACCTGTTTCTCAGCTATTGGTGATGTGCCCTGATACAAATATCTCTAGCTCCTGACTAATTTTGATGATGTAACAAGTACCAAAATCAGAATCAATACGTACGCGGGGCAGTAGTGGCAGACATAAAAGTAACTGTAGGTAGTGTTGAAGCAGAAAGCAAAACCACATCCAATTTTATAAGAATTGTGCCAAACCATCTGTAGGTATAAGAATAAAAATTATGGGAGTATGGAAAATATGCATTTGAAAATCATTTAAATATAATATGCATCACAGAACTGTTTGTAATGATGTGAAGTCACTTTATTTACCCTTTATAGTAAAAATGAGCCCCATGTTACTGAAAATCTGCTTTCACCCCTATTCAACCAAAGAATGTTGGGGATATAACAATAATAATTCATAACACATGTTTATAAAACCTTTGATTTTGCATTTATGTCTTCATTCAATCAAAACTGTTAATGTAGGAATGATGATGTAAAATTTTGTATCCTGTTTTTTGTGCAGGTACTGTAGAAGTTAAGGATAAGGCATTGCCCAACTCCTCTGAGTCAAAAGAACTCTGTTGAATGCAGCAAACCTATTTATATTTCCTTGCTGTTACTTTAATAACCCTGTTTTTCCACCTTCTGGGCAATTCCCAGATGTTAGACAAGTTGCTGCTTCCTGAAGCCTTGAAATTCCAGTATCTTTACTCTTTACTCCTTTACATATACTCAAGGCTATTATTTTCATTTTAATCTTGTTACTTTACATATTATTTTCATTCTAATTCTGTTTCTTTAGAAGTTTTCATCTTGTTTTGTTAGAATAACTCTCATATCTCCACTGTATTTATGTCCTTTAAAGATGAGAGGGTAAAACTTGCTTAGCTAACATTTATTTGTTCAGCCTGAAATATAAATATCTATATTAAAAACATATCTACCTGAGTGTAATGGCCAAACATAGCCCCTTTTGGTTTTGCCCCAGTTCCATATTCAAAATTTTTCTCCTCATTGTACCAGGCCTGAAGAACATCTGACCATGAGAAAGGGGCAGAGGACATGAAGAGATTTTCACCACACTGTACATCTGAAAAGAGAATGGTGCTGAGAAATGCACAGAGAATACACACATGAGAAAAAAACCCCAAAAAAAACCAGACCAGCAAAAGGTGGGATGATTTTCATAGAAATTCTCATCCTAAATAGGGCAGCAGGATGTTTCCTTTCCAGTTGAGTGACATCACCCTTTGTAAATGCTGAAGGTGTCACTTGGCCAGTTTGCAGCTTGGCCTGTTTGCCCTGTGGTTGGTTGTTGCAGACATTCTGTATGAACAGCTGCACAGGTGCCTTGCAGGTTCATGGCTGTAATTTTGCTATTTGGAAGTTGCCAACATAATCATTACCCAGGTTAGAACCTTGGGAAAATCACAATAATTCAAATTTTACTCCTGGCACCTACAAAAGTGTCTCTACTGCCCTTATATTCTGTTTCTATTCAGGTCTAACCCCACTGCATTGGTCTTCAAATGGGATTCACCCTGGCAAAAAAACAGAGAATTTGGATTTTAGGAAAAAATATTGACAGGACTGTCCACATCTTAGATGTGGTGTGGGTAGCGGTCAATCAGCAACACACTGGGCTGTTAACATGGTACAGCTGTAAATTCAATATCCAGTGACTGACTAAGTGTTAATCTGAACCTCAGAGACAGTTTTAGGTTGCAATTTACCAGGGGATTTAAAAACTCTTAAGTCTGGTCTGAGAAACCATGCTTAGCACCACCAGCCAGTTTTACATCTTTGCCTTTTGCCCTTTTCTTCCCAGGCATTTCAAACCAGCACAAGTAAACTGGTTTCTGCATTAGCTGGCTCTAGATCTCTAGATTCCCTTTTTTCTGATGGATATTTTAGGAGAATATGCTTTATCAGTATGATTTAATTTTTTCATCTGCTTTAGAAATGGGATATACCTATGTAAAATTGGGATGAGAATGGGGTTTAATTTTTCTCACTCACTGGGCAGATTTCTACCTAGAAATTTCTATCTGTCACATGACAAAATAAAATCAGTATGAAATTAAAATTTCATCTCATTTCCCCCCAGTAAGCAAAACCCCAAAGTGGCCACATCAATAAGTTGTGATGTTGTTCAGCTCCACTCATGCTGCACTTACTGGTTCTCCTCAGGTTAGGAGGACTGTGGCTTAAAGCGCATTTATTGGCCCAGTTTTGGGCATTCTCTGCAGCTGCAGGACACCATTCCTTAATGAAAGAAGAAAATATCTGTCATGCATCCATGAATAACCCCTCATGCATACCCCTCATAAAGGAGCAACATTTAGAAATTACATTTAAATCAGGAAAAAAGTCAAATGCAAAATCCTTTTCATCCCATTATTTGAGGGGAGAGGGAGGTAGGAGCAAAGTTCCTGTGCACGAAGGGAATAGAAACTGTGAAGCCTGATGAGGAATGAATCAGAAAGAAATTAATTATGCTATGGATCTTTATCCTCCTTTTAATTTTACTTCAAAAGAGACATTACTGTTGATACACCACCCCATTATCCAGGTTTTTTTTTTTCCACCTGCCCAGCCTTAGGTTTCTCTTGGTGCTGGCTGTGCTCAATCCTTAGGAAAGGTTTGGAGAAGGAATTTGTGGCTAAATAAAATAATGTGACCCCGCATACAGTCTTGTATCTCTCATATAGTCCACCACTCATTAAAAATAAATTTACAGCACACAACTTACCATCTTCATCATGTTGCTGGCAGTTGGTTTTACTCCTCTCCTGAGGGCATTATGTCTGTCAACAATCAACTTCTGCTGCTCTGCTCTGCTGCTTGACAGAGCACTGAGAGCAGCAGTTTCCTAAATTGAAAAAAAAAAAAAAGAAAAAAACTGTATTTCTGTTTTATTTGAATTTTACTAAATCCTGCATCCTGTGTAGGAAATATTAAAATACCAAAATTTTATTATCAACCAAGGAGATAATCCCTGTTAGGGAGGAAGGACTCTTTGTCTCCTAAGTGTCTCCCATGTGGAGCAGCATTTCAGTGGTTCCACCGTGCAGAGCTTAGCAATAATAACACAGATTCCTGCACTGTATCTCCCAACCCTCTGTGGAGGACTGGGATATTCTGGAATGCCTCTATGCCTGCAGACTCACATTTAGGCAACAGAACCATACTTATTTTCCAATATTATAATTTCCTAATGAAGTTTTGTGTAAAGAGGATCTACAAATCATCAGAATATATGAATTGTGTTTATGATATGTTTGTCTTCTAGTTTTAAACTTCTTTATCAATGTTTTTCTATTGAAGAAATCTGTTATTTAATCACAGGATCATTTCAGGCTTCTTGTGGTACTTCATCAGGACATCCTACTGAACAGAAAATGTTTATACCTTTCATGCCATAGATCTTCTTCCAATTCTATCATAATTCTGACAAAATTTCTCATGGTTTTCACATGTTCTCTAATTAAAAGATAGCCATGTGAGGAACTCAGCCTCCTCTTTACATCCATTCTCAACTGGTCTGGACTGCAGCATTGAGAGGAGAAATTGAAGGATTAGGAGGAAATGTAGTCAGGCCATCAGTCATGTGATGGAGAAGTAGCAAATACAGATTTCAGACTGTTTGAGTCGGGAGGAACCACTCTGTGAGTGCATTCAGGGTGTTAATTTAGCTGTTTGAGGGAAATCAGGGATATGGGCTGAGTGGATGGGACTGTGAGCAAAGAGAAAGGCAATACCTCAGGACCTGTAGGATGAGAAAGGATGAGAGTAAATAAATGATATCTGTAAACCTGTGTGGAATTCATGGGAAAATGCTTGATCATTAGGAGGTCCAGATTATTGGATTTGTGTATGGAAACTTCTGGAAAATACAGCTATCTCTGAGCCAACTTACAAGTACATCTTGAGATGTTTTTTTGTGCAAATGTAGAACCAGAAAACTGCTTTGAAATGAAGCAGATACATCAAGAATAAATGCTTTCCAGATCCTATATCTATTACTTCAAGAATAAATGCTTTCCAGATCCTAAATATCTCATCAGACTCTTTCTGCATATGTTTGGTGTACACAAAAAACCATATTCAGTTGTTCTACAAGTGCCTCAGGGCCCACCCAAATTTTAAAAATAAGAGATTTGTATTCTACCTGTCCAGTGGATGGAGGCAGCACAACTGTGAGACACAGGAACACTGCTGGCAGAATCATCTCTGAAAAGGTGAGAATGAGGAATTAATTTTCTTTTTACAGAGTTTTTATTTCTCTGAATACAAAATACATCTTTATCCTGTGTGTTTGCAGGCTTTTGCTCAAGTTCCTTCCTTCCTTCCTTCCTTCCTTCCTTCCTTCCTTCCTTCCTTCCTTCCTTCCTTCCTTCCTTCCTTCCTTCCTTCCTTCCTTCCTTCCTTCCTTCCTTCCTTCCTTCCTTCTCATCCATTTTTAACTAAAATAATAAAATTAATTCACCCTCTTTATTTCCAAATTTCTATGAATCAGTTGCTTTTTACACCTCATACTTCCTGCTGTAACCCTGATGGAATATCCCCACAGGTGTTCACAGGAATTTTTGCTGCTCTTCCAGCAGGAAGCCTATTGCTCATTTTCAAACTGCAGAATGGGATGGGATGCTGCTCTTAGCCTGTTCCTGTGTCTAGGTGAATCTGAAAGTTCCCCTGGTCCCCTTTGCCTGCTCTGCCTGGTGTGCTTTAGTTGAGAGGGGAATTACACACTGAGTCCATCTGATCTCTACTGTTGGGTGTAGGAATTCAAAACCTGCTCAAAGCTTGCTGACCAGCACTATAAAATCTTGCATGTGAGCTGAGGCAGAACTTGCAAAGACCTGTTTCAGGAAGAATTTTTTTTAATCTGTTTTAAGACAAGTCTTGATTATATTACAAGTCATAAGAAATGACAACAGAAATTAAAGCCCTCTCCAACATTGTGATTCTTGGTATTTCCCATGCAGGGCCAGGAGTAGGACTTTGATGACCCTTGTGGGTCCCATCCAACTCAGGTTATTCTACAAATATCTGATTCTAATTGAAGAAGCATCCCCCAGACCTTGGACTCCAAGACTCCACTTGCCTGGGAGGCTCAAACACCACTCCAGTGACCAAGGAGGTCACAGCAAAGTTCAGGTATCTGCAATCAGCCACACGAGTTACACTTAGCTGGTTTCTGCTCACCTACCTCTGGCAGGCAAGCAGGTGACTAGAGCGGAATTTACTTGTCCTGGCAATTTTCCCAGCCTCCCACTCTGAGGGAATTTATGAGCATGTTACCACAGAGGTGTATTATTAGCTAACCTTGTTTGGTTTTGAGGGGCTGCTGATTTTAGTTTTAAATTATTTTTGGGGAGAGGCCAGTAGGGTTTGCTGATCCTTTCATATTCAGCAAAGCCCCTTTGCCTCGAGGCAACCAGTTTATATAAAACACAGGGTGCTCTGGAGAACACTGGTACTTGTGGAGAACACGTGGTTAAGAATAAATATTCTTTTCCAGGTGCTACAGCAAGGCCCCAGCTCTTCACCAGGCTCTCACCTTGCACTGGGGGTGACCCACAGTGCCCAGCCTGAGGCAGGGATGCTGCTCCAGCTCTGCTGAACAACAAAGCCCATGGACTGTGACTGTGGGCAGCTGGAACTCAGAGGCCAAAAAACTGGAAAGACTGGTCACATCTGTCCAATTAAACTCTCACAGCCTTCAAAATAGGGTGGATTATTCCAAGCACTTGTATTTGAGGGAAGATCCAATTGATCCAGGGGAAAACATATGGATGATTAACAGAGTAAGTCATTGATCTCCTGTTCTTAGTATTGTTTTATGTCCCTTAGTTTAGATTTTAACATCACCTGTGCCTCCTTGGAGTGCTTTAGAATCACAGAATGTTTTTCTTATTAATTTCTCTAACTCATATTTCTCAGAGCTGTTACAAAACTTTGCACTTTGTCTGACTTAGGTGTTTAGCAACAAAAGGTTATGCTCTCAATATCATGAAAAAATAAGTTTTTCACTTAATTTCTAACTAGAAAGTAAATAGAATTTGGGCTATTTTTAGCTGTACTCAAGTTACAAGCAAAAATATGTCTTTTGAGTGCAAAATATGATGAGATGCAAGTATAAGGCAACCCTTTTTGCACATAAAACATATATTAAAGGAAAAAATTATTCACTGAAATGATGAAGCTTTCTAGTTTGCAAACCAATCTGAAGAAGCTGATTTAGAGACATGGGCAAAGTCTTCATTCACTGTAATATTTTCTATGAATTAACTTACAATTAAATATAATTGGTAATTTAATACATGATACGAGTTTCAAAATGCCATTGGAATGCTTTCTAAGACCCAGTGGGTTTCCCACTCCAAGATATTAACATACTTTTGGCAATCCCACTGATTTCAACCAAATGCTTACAGTTTATGAGATGTAAATTTAATTGCTCTGCATTAATTTCTAGGCACTGGTCCTAAAATCAGTCTCTCTCTCCCCCTCCCCTGCTCCCCCTCAATCAAACATAAATCAGGACATGTGCCAAGTCTTACTGACTTTCCTGCAAATCCATCTGTATACCAGGATCTGCCACTGAAAGATGGTGCTTTAGCATCTCTAGTTTGTATGAGTTTGGCAAACTCATGAGAATATGTTTTTCCAGTCTCTCCTTCTCAAATAAAAAAATAAAAATGTGTATCCTAAATTATTCATTTGATTGGATAACCATTAGCAAAAAAAATCCCAATTATTTTTTATTATCCTTGAAAAAGACCTGAAATAGAATAAAGTCACTGTCATTAACACTTGTAAAGCATTAATACAGAAAGGTTTCTTAGCAGCCATTTGCAGAAGAGGAGTCAATTAAACAAGGTGGTAATTTTCCCACTCTGAAAATAGGTGGTGATAGAAACATGAACCAATAGAACTTACCAAGCTGAATCTATATCCCATTCAATGTGTTTGACTGTCTCTCTGTCCCTTTCTCTATGTACAAATAATTTACTAAGATGCTGCTTTCTTGATACAGGTGGCTTTTCTGGTATTTTTGATTGTTCATCCATTTTCTCCACCTTTTTGTTTTAGCTTGTGTTACACTATTGCCTATATACTCCTTACTTTTCACTGAATAAAATCCTCTTCTGTCTAAATTTTTCAAGAAGTCTTCTGATGACAGGTTGTATTTTGATACAGGAAAAAAAATCACAATAATTTAAGCCAATGAATCAAGGCGAATCCTACCTTTTGTTTCCACAAAGATCAGTCCTTTTTCAAGTAGTTGTGGAATTGGCAGGAACTCTTCACAGGGGAGTGATTTATAGCTCTCCTGTTTCCTGATAGGACAAGGTGATTCAACGTCACAAGTATTACAAAGTTCACGCAGTGACCAGATAGAACCACTGCATATTTTTCAAGCTTAAATTCATCCAAAAAGGAGGTTTTTTGTTTGTTTTCCATTTTAATTTCCTCTTGCTTCTTCTACTGGACTACATGGAATACTCTGAAATTATTTTTGGAAGTGTTACATCTTAAATTTGAAATTTGCAGTCAATGGGGAGGCCAGGTACAACGCTCTCTGCTAATGATTGACACAACCAGTTGTAGCAACATTTAATCCTAATCTCCAGCAATGCAAATAAACTCAGCTAGCTACTGACTTTATATTACTACTACTACTACTACTACTACTACTACTACTACTACTACTACTACTACCACCATTATTATTATTATTATTATTATTATTATTACTATTACTATTATTATTATTATTAATTAATTAATTAACAATGCCTCCAGACTTACACTGTTATAGCCAAGATGGAATCTTGCCCATTGATTTTTCCATGGGACTTTAAAAAGCCTTGGGCCAAATTTCTGTTCATGCTGTGGCTTCTTTACAGTGGTCCTATAGTGTAAAAGCCAAAAAAGGAGACAAGGATGTTTCTGTAATTTATCTTTTTAATCAATATTGGAAAAAGATTGAAAGATTAGCATGTGCACTAACATTGAAACATGTATTTGTTTTGGCATTTCTGGGTACATGGGGTGAGATGGGATGGATGGGAACACTGCCAGATCAGAAGGGATTTTGTGTGTGCACTGACTGCTTCTCTCCATGTTCAATCTCCAGTAATTACTGACCTGAGCAGCTGTCATTGTCTGCTTTTATATCAAATGTTGCTGTTTTTCTATTTCAATTCAGATCTCCTGTCTTCCTAGCTCTCAGCTGCTCCCTGAGAACTCAGGTTGTGCCTTCAGAGCAGGCCTTTGCTGTTCCACACCTGGGAAAGCAGCACCTTGGCTCTGCCAGATGAAATGACTGTGGGGTGGTAGATGGTTTGTAATTATGTGGAGAGTAACACACCCTCAGCAAGTCTGGGGTTGACACCAAACTGCAGGGAGCAGTCCACATGCTGGATACAAAGGCAGTCATTCAGATGAATCCCAGAGAGCTAGAGCTGTGATTTGACAGATAAGATCTGAAAGCAAACAATTAAAGACACCAATTGTGGAGGGAACAGCTCTACTAAACTACTTTAGGGGTTGGACTTGATCATAGAATGGTTTTGGGTTGGAAAGGACCTTAGAGATCATTTACTTCCAAGCCTCCCACCATGGGCAGGGACGATCTGAGAGGTCTTTTCCAGTGTAAATGATTCTATGAGAAGTTGCACAAGAGTCAATGAACCACGCTGAATTGGCCACTGCACAGTGCATGAACTGAAAATAGTGATTAAACCCAATTTTGAGCAATTCTGAAATGGTGTTGGGACTGCTGTGCCCAGTTTTAGAGTCCCCTACAAGAAAGGCTTCAGCAGAGTAAGCCCAGCAAAGGGCTACTGTGCTGGAAAGGGAGAAGGCGGAGATTGACTCTTCTACAACACAGACTTGAGGCTGAACATGGTGTTGGACCAGATAAGCTTCAGAGATCCTGTGCAACCAAAATTTTTCTAAGGTTGTGTGATTTTTATGGTGCTTACACTGGTAAGGAACAAAGAGAGACCTGTCTTATTTTATTTATTGACAGATACAGCAGTTCGACACCTTACAGTGGGAACCTCTAATTGCTGTATGAGAAAACAAGTGCAATTAGCATAATCATTATAACCATAGCTAATGAAAAGCTCTATGCATGTGATCAGTGAGCAATGGGTCATAAGGTAAAGACTGTATCCTATTATGTTTGTCAGTCATTCCTCTGCCTAATATACACTGAGACCTTGTGAATCAGCTCCCCACTCAAGTGTAAGAGCTGCCTAAAAACCCAAGAGAATGATTCACAACAACAGCCTATCCCCCAGCAACATTTCTGTGAATATTCTGTCATGACACCTCCTAAGTTTATTTTCATGGAATCACAGAACATCTCAGGTTGGAAGGGACCTCTAAAGATCATTCCTGCAGCCTGTTGAGGTCCCTCTGAACATCAGCTCCACTACCTGCTGTAGGAGCCCCTCCTTTCAGGTCTGCATCACCTGCAAACTGGCTGATTATGTAAACCTCATTCCTCTAGCAAATCCCATTAAGTATAAATCAGGCATTTATAGTGACTCTTGTTGCCTGGCATTGCTAATAAGAATACAATTCCTTGTCTTTAAATTTTCATGCCAACTCCATCTCATTAGTCATAAGTTACTGTTCCCATTTCTCAGATGTGTAGAGCCCCTCTTTGTTTCCTGACATTCATCTTTCACCCAGTTTTCAGATTTTGACCATGACTCCTTCAGCACCTGGTGATGAATTTAACCTGTTAACTGGTATATTTTCAACATCTTTAGTTTTGCTATGGGAAATTGATCAATAAACATTTGCAGTTTCTTCTGTATTTTCTTAGTTTTGATGCCTACAAAATATTTCAGTAAGTAAGCTAGATCTAGTCTGTGGATGTTGTCTTATAACAGATCAAACCTATTTTGCTTTTATTTTCTTCTTTTACTATCCCTATTTATCTGTACCCTTCTTTTATTTTGTATCCAGCCACCCAATATGTAGGAGAAAATGCATCTTCTCCTTCTTATTTCTACAGCATCTTCCAGAGTTCCCAGAGCAGGGTCCCAGAGCCTATCACAGCAAGAACAAAAAGCAGTAATAAACTACATAAAGAATTTACATTCCTCTATCTTTAGATATCCAAATGATACATATCTAACATAATATAGGTGTGCAGATTCCCTCCATATTCAATAGACAGAGACACTTTTCTGTTTTCCTGTCTTAGAGTCCCATCTTAGTAAATTAACTTCTGAAAGCATTGTTCTGTTCTTGTTGGCCACGCAGTGGCCCTGACTTACAATAAATGTCACAAAAGCCTCTGAAACTCCACTCTGACAATTTATATTTGTATGTGGGAGGCAATCTCCAGATATCTAAATGCTCCTGGTATTTTCTGCTTTTTGTCTGAAGACAGAGAATTAGAAGAAATCAACTTTTTCCCAGTGTAGAAAAAAATAATTTTTATCATAGATTAGGGTAAAGCTAAACTAAATTTATCAATATAAAAATTATTTTTAAGTCTTTAAAGTGATGGGTAACCTCCAGGTTCATCATAGAGACTAACCTTGGGTGACATTCCCATTCACTAAATAAAGCAGAGACCTGAATAAAGGTTTGTCAAAACATTTGAAATATTTTACCTTCCCAGCAGCATTCTTCCTTTCTATTCCTCAGTCCTAAATAGGTGGAGTTTTCTCATTTTCTGTCCACCACAAACTGAAAACCCAGATACTCAGCTGGAGTTCCATTCCTATTACTCAAATGGGATGGTCAATAAATTTATTGCTCTTAATGACTTTCTTGGCAGGTTTCCCACTGGAATTTGAGATATAATCAGCCACATTCTTTTCTCATATTCCATATGATAAGAATTTTCTCAATTATTAGAGCATATAATTTTTTTATTAGCCTGAACAAAAGTGTGTTTTTTTCCTATGTATCATCTGGATTTATCTCAGGGAGGTAATTCAGTGCAGCCTCAGATTACATGGCTTGATAAATATTTTGAGCCCATTACGGAGACTCCAAACTATATTAACAATCCTTAAAGAAACTTAATGCCTCAGCTTTTATTTCTATCTCAGTTTTGTGTTTCCCAGGGTTTTAGTTCTCCAAGGAAACTGATGGAAACACTGAAAACTTTGGAAAACAGCAGCCTGAAGGCTCCACTGTGTATCTCTAGGAACAGACAGATTGCAAAGTCAATCACTGAGGTTTGGTACTTCCATCCTAAAAATTACACTGGTTCTCCCAAGAGTCAATGGCTCTTTCATCCCTATTTTCAACAGAGGGCACAGACCCCAGGCTCTTCTGTAGCTCTTCCCAGAGCCAGTAACTCTAAGCCAGCAGGACTCTGAAGAAGATTAATTTTTCAGTATTTTCAGATTTCTGCCATAGCAAATGCATTTAGCAACAGTGCATTTATTTAGAAGGATTCTGTTTCAAGGATTGACTCAACCAGGCAATCACAAGAGAAATGCAGCTAAAAATGTAATTAAATTTGCATAATTTATCTGAAAGAAGTGTCTCTGTGTTTAGGGTGAGATGTTGTTTGCCACTATCTTAGCAGTATAGCAAGGCTGTGTAACATACTTATACCATACCACACTTTTCTATAATGTCTCCTTTAGATCTTTGGTGCAGTTAATTCCCAGCATGCCGGCTGTTACCAATTCTGATTTTAAAATGTCAAGAAGAAAATGTTAGAAGTCATGGAAGGCAAGGTTTATTATAAGGTTTTTGTGCCTGGAAAAAAAAAATAGAATAGAAGCATTCTGTGGATTTTTGTAAATGTCTGATGTATATTTCATACCCCTTTTTGAGAATGGATCATTGAAATACATCCATGGAAATGTTCCAAAATTCAGTTTCATCGTTGATTGCTGCACTGGACTAGTGGAGTCCTTGTTTCTCTTCTTTCCAATGTGATTTTTCAGGTCTTTAGCCTGATTAAACCCTGAGGTAGTCTAAGACAAGAGTCCTTACAGGAGCAGCAGTGTCTCGTGTTTAAGAGTAGTGATGTACATTATAAAGAAAACAGAATTAAATTTAAAAAATTTACTCTGATAAGGTGTCTAAGTGGCAGAAAATTTTGTTGCCAAGCTGTATTTCTGTCTTTCTTTATCTCTGTGTGTGTTTATTTAACTCTCCTTGACTTGGAGAAGAAAATGCACTGAACAGGGGGAATTTTGTTCACAGTGCAAATCTGTTTTTCCCCAGTGCTTGTGGTTCTCCAGGCACTGAACACATTTAGGTCCTCCTTAATGGCAGTCAGAATTACACCTTGTGGCCTGTCACAGGAAGGGAAACCCCCAAAATCTTTTTGATCTGCCGCCCACAAAAAGGCCTTTTGTCTTAACACCAAGCACAGGAAATGTTCATGCACAAATTTTCCACTGTTGAGGAGCTTAATAATTGTTTCCATGAATAATGTACTTCCAGTTTTATTGAGAAATCCCACAATATTTTGTACTAATTCCCTTTTCTTCTAAGTTTGAAATCATATCCTGCTATCAAGTATCTGGACATAATCCCAAGTAATATTTGAAGTAATATTGTCATGCTAAATCCTATGCATGTACAGATAACAAAAGATAAACCTTCTTGGTCAGGTATTCCATGTTAACAGACACACAAAGTGCAATAAACTTTATCAACCTACAGATCTAAAGAACAACTGTGTCAAATTAACTTGTGATTACAGTGTAAAGAAGAAATAGAAAAATTCTACCAAACTGTGAATTTGATTTTTTAAGAAGTATTTGCAATCTACACTTTATATCTGTGTTCATATCCTACATTGATAGGTTATATATTCACATCCCTGTTGAATCCACTTAAAATCAAATTTTACCAGGAAAGATGACAAGACATCCTGAAGAAAAGAATATTGCAAAGACCATCAAGACCACTTTATAAAGGTCATTTAGGCACCTGAAATGGATTTAATTTAAATAACCATGGGCATCTACATTTGAGGAAGACTCCCTTCACAGACTTTGAAAATTAACAGGTATTTTTGGGACATGTTTCATTTGATTCCAAAGTCAACATCTAAACAAATTTGTATGTTGTCTTAGAAGTATCTATAATCATAATATTATGATTATTCAATGGCCTTATTAAAGTCTCATATATTTTTAATTCTGTCTTTTTATTTTAGTTATTTGTATTTAACTTATTAATGAAAAGGATACTAAAAGCTCACTTTATTGGGATAAACATGCAGCAGAAGTTGAGAAAATTTTGGTGAAGGAAGAGAATAACTCATGAACACCCCTGGAAAATTAATCTTTTCTGTTCTCTTGACAGAGAAATTCTGCAGCTCCTCCCTTGTTTTTATGGTTTCTCAGGCTGGGGAAAGACACGCCTTTAAATTCTATGATCACTTTTAAAGACAGACTGAGAAAAGTTAGAATTCAGTCAGAGTCAGTGCAAGGAAGAGAATACTAAATGCAAAATTGTGGAGGAGAAAGCAAACTCTATTATTTCATGAAGGCTGAATTTGTGGAGATGAACTGGGGCTTCTTGGTGCTCATCACAAACAAAAATAAGGAACAGAGAGGTGCAGAGAAGTGAGGAAGTTCAGCGCTGTCAGGAGAAAACTGATTATTGTCTCTCTGTCAAGAACCCCAAGGATTCTAAAAATTTCAGTGGTAAAGACATTACTGGACATATTTGACAAGAATCAATGGATGTGCCCACTCAAGTAATCTCAGAAAACGGGAAGTAATGTTGATTACAGGATGAGATGGAAGGAAATAAGAGGAAAAGAGTTGGTTGTTATATCTAGGAAGGTTGTGGCTCAGTCACAGATGGAACTCAACTTCTGCACACAAATCCAGGATTCCCTTTCACCTTGTCTTGAAAAAAATGTCATTATGGGGACCTGCATGATGCAGATCTCAACCTATATGCTGAATATGCACCAGAAGGGTCTGAGCCTCCTCTCTGGATATGTCCTCAGCACTAAGTGTAGAGAACACTGAATAAGCTTGGATTACTAGCAAGAATCATAGGATCACAGAATTGATGTGATGGAAGTTGGAAAAGACCTCTCAGATCAACAACCAGCACTGAACTGAGTCCCTCAGTGCCACATCCTCACCTCTGTTAAATTCCTCTGGGCCTGGTGACCCCACAGCTTCTCTGGGCAGCCTGTTACAAGGCCTGACCACCCTTCCAATGAAGAAGTTTTTCCTAATATCCAATCCTAACCTCTCCTGGCACAATTTGAAGCCATGTGTTGTTGTCCTGTTGCTGGTTACTTGGGAGAAGAAGCCGACCCCCTCATGGCTGGAAAAGAAGGAACAAATGTCTCCATTCATGGAGCCATGTGCTCCCACTGCCTGGGAACGAGGATATCTTGGATGGCACACCAGACTGCACTGCTCTGTGCCATCACTGGCTGACACTCCTCTGTGCTATTTGGGTGACAACTTGCAAGGTGGGGGTCTCCAAATGCTCAGGGAAGTTGGAAGTGCAGGCGCAAGGGAGGATTTTATTGCTGAAACATGGACGTCTGTTGCCAATTTTGCTGCAGCATATTTGAGACATATGCACGGTACTAACAGGTATTACACAGCACTTCAGGGAGACTCCCCTTCTGGAGTGTCAGATGGAGGCAAGGTAGGACATCCTGCGGTACTTAAAACAACCCTAAATGTCTACGTGAAGGTAAATGAATCACATTCCCATTATTTCATGTGTGGTAAATCAGATTTGCCTGGCCTCAGCTATGCTTCCAGCTCTGGGGATTTACCAAGCATTGTCTGCCAATTGCTTCCTTTTTCTGTTTGAGTATATCCAGGAGTAGTTGTTCTGGTGTTTTTGCCTCCTTCCTCTTCTTTTTGAGGTACATGATACTAAACACAAAAGTTTGGGAAGCTGAGTTTAGCCCACTGTCTGATTCAGTCACTTTCCTACAAATTTGATTTCATTCGTCTCCACTTCAGTGCCTGGCACTGTCTTGAGATGCTGTAAAATATTCTGCCTCAACATTAGCAACTGGTTCAGAAAGTTAGAACTTCCCACTGATGTTTTTGCAATATCTGACAGCCCTGGGTGGCTGTCTCAGATTTGACAGGGCATCTCAGAGAGCCAAGAATAACCCTCAGGGAGAGGAATGGACACTCAGCTGTCTAAATGGCATCCATTTAGTCCACTTTAGGGCTCAATGAAGATGAAATTCAGACACTTCTATCAAATTTATATTTGACGTTTTTTCTCAATCTTAAAAAAGAATGAGCCACCCACTGCAGGTGCCTTAAACTCTGCAGTGTCAGGGAGTGAGCTGATGGCAGGATTCAAATTCACATGTCTAATTGTAAATGTCCACACTTGAGAAACATATCCTGACTCCTGTAATCTCTGTCAGTAAAATTCAGTTTTCTACAGGCATCCAGAGACATTAGGGATAGCTTTGAATATTAGACATACTCATGTGGGCCATGGTTTTTGTTTAGATTTATAAATTACACTGAAAGAGTCCTGCAGCCCAGGGGACAAAAATATCTCGCTCAGAGTCAAAAGAAACCAAGGAGTTTGTGTCACTTGCATACTCCAGCCCAGATGGTCTGTTTGGTGAGATTTTTAACAAAGAAAGCTTTCCAGGATCTGATCTTAGACTGGATCAACCTGGCAACTTTCTTTTGGTTTCTCTGAGTATTGCATTGTGTTTGCAGGGTGCTGTAGGAGAAGACAGCATCCTTTTGTTATTGTACAGGGCCCAGAGAGGATATTTCACTTGGAGCACAAACTAAGAAGTGATTTGGAATGACCCTGATTGATCAGGGAGGTTGGAGGAGGTGACCCATTGTGCCCCTTTCCAACCTCACCCATTGTGTCTGTGATTCTGTAAAAAAACCTAAAATATGCCTTCTTTGTTTGCAAGATCTCAGACTTATATAGAAGCACTCTCTCCCTTGGGGTTTTTTGGGGGGGTTTGGTGTGTTCTGTTGTTTTTTTCCATGCTTGGACATGAGCAGTAGCCAGTGATGGCTGTTTCTCTCTCTATGTGTGTGTGTGTGTGTTTGTGAGCCCAATGCCATATTTGAAGTCTTTCACCTCATGCTTGTCTGACAGCTGACCAAGTACTGCAAGTGTCTGTCACAGACAGATTTTCAGTGCAGTTCACAGCTCACATAACAGAGGGAGAGGGGAGGGGAAAGACAGTTCACAAAATGTATGAGGAAACGTGTCGGGAAGATGCAGGATCTCTGTGCAGACAGAGTGTCTTTTGTCTCTCGGGCAGAATTACTCCCTGGCTCAAAGCCCACCGTGAAGCAAATAACAGAGCACATTCACCATGCCCTAATGTTGCTACATAGCTGTATATTTGGGACTTGAATTATAGACAAAGGTGTACTCTTTCACTATTAATTTTTTTGTAATCTCGCTTGCTGTTGTCTCACCATTCAATAGGTTCTTTGCACTGACCAGACCTGCACACGCAGCCCAAAATTACCTTACTCAAAATAAGTTACAATTGCACTGAAAACTGTTTCTTCATATTAGTTTTCACTCCATTTAGAAAAGAACAAGGGTTTATTACTGATTAGAGTTATGCAAAACAGATGGCATTTTTCTTTTTTATATCAAAGGATACCATAACCATATTTAGGTATGAATGGTGAGAAATTTTTCAACCAAGCTTTCTTATTTTAAAGCCTGGTGTTTGGTCTAAGATAATCATATAGACGTCCTGTAGTGATAAGACTGAAAAAGACATAATTAAAGCAGGATTTAACCCACTTGGACAACTAAAGACCAGACCTACTGCTTTTGAAAATGCTTGCACTACTACATTGATGGCAGAGCTCTTGGACACAAATGCCTGACATAAAAATCACTGAAGTAAAAAACATAATTTCTTTTGAATTCTCAAAATTTTAACTTTCAAATGATTTTTTTTCCCTTCTACTTAGGTTTGGAGAGGTTTTGTTGGTACTTTTATTTGGTTTTGCTAAACCCAGATGAAACTCCTTTTTACAATTTTTTTTTTCCTGAGTAATCAATTAAAACTTTGAACAGGGTTATGAAAGAATCTGTAAACAGAGAAACAAAGAAAAATCACATTCATAATAAATAATAACGGCAACAATTTTTATAGCTATTTACAGGTGGAATGAAACATTTTCACCATTTTTCTAATCACTGTTTGTACCATTTCCATCCCAGTCCTGCCAGCACTGATAAATGCCCTCTTTTCTTTTGAGGTTCTTGACACTTTCTGCACTTAATTATTTGCACAACCTTGTGTCATTCAGCTGCAATGTAACAGTGAATTATTTTAGGAAGCAGTGGGTCTCTCAGAAATAGTTCATAGTTTCAATAAGATAAATCTCCATGAGATTTGATATGTCAAGGGGAGCTCACTTGGTGTTAGAGCTCTTTCAGATGACTGATTTCTTAAATACGCAGTAAAATCTCAGGAATTGCCATTGATTATGCATTGATTACCACAATACCACTGATTCTTGTAGGTATACAGGAAAAAAACACACAAGGGAAAGGTAAATTGAGGTGGAACAAAGAGATGTGGAGATAAAAAGGTCCCATCTCATGGTTTATGTATTGTGTGAGGCTTATGAGGAAGGAAAATGAGATCTTCATCAGCATTAATATTGTGGAAGAGAGTAATTCCCTACACTGATATGGGAAAGGTTCAGTAGCACCAGAAATACATTCGGTCATATATTGGTCATGTATTGGTTTTCCTGAGGAAACTAGAGCACCATGACAATCACAGAGATCACAGGGATTGATATGAAGGATTTGGGTTATTCTGCCTTTTTTCCATCCCTCTGTTCCCTCCAGATATCTTGAAGAGAGATTGATTCACTTGATTCTCTTGCAGTCTAGAGATGTTCACAGAGGATGAGATCTTCTGCTTTTGTTTGTTTTTTTTTTCTTTTTAAACTTTATCTGCTTGAATAATTCCTGCATTTCTTCTCAACATTTTCTACTTTTCATTTTTCTGGCTTTCTTACTGCCAGTGTGAAACAGCTTTAGTTACCCAGGATAACCTATTTGCAGTGCCTGTTGGGGGCACACATATGGTCCATGATGGAAACCTCAGGTTTACGCTCTTGAAAATTTCCATACTCTGCTAACTTTTCAAGCTGTCCCCACCTCTGTTCTATGTAAATGCATGTCCTAAATCTTGTCATTTCCAGATCAATGGAGCAACTGTCTAAGTGAAAATCCTCTTCTGCCAGTTGTTAAAGTGTGCAGCTGACTTAAAACAGAGAAGCTGATTTTCTGAGCACTGCTCAAATCATAATGTTAAATATTCCTTGCTGAGTGTGTTCACATTGACTATGACTGTAGGCAATTAATATGAATTTCCCAAATGACAGCCATTTTCTCTTGGTAGTTCCTTTTGTTGTTGTTGTTGTTTTTGTCTCAGGAACAATTTCACTTGGGCAGACTAAGACAGGTTGCTATTATGAATCTGCTGCAGTGCTTCCAGGTATTCATAACACTGTTTCCATTGCTAAGTGCTGTGAGGGGAAAGTATCAAAGTTAAGGGATTATGCTCTGCTGAAGCTGATTAAACAGTTCCTCCAGTTTGAAGAATTATGACAAATGAACACCTCTTACACACAAACCTGAGTTATCCAGGTTGTCTGTTAATGAAACAGATGTCAGTTTGCTTAAATTCCAGGCTTCCTTTTTTATTTTTCCCTAGTCTTCAAATTTTTGAATTTCTGCCTGAGCAAAAGTTAGGAGTGTGCTCCTATGCAACATTTATCTCTATGGTACAAAAATTCCTTAATTTTACTCCACCAGAAGTAAAAAGAGGATATTTTATATATATTTAAAGAATTTTTTGTAGAAATTGGATCACATTTCTTTACTCTGATTTTCATCCAATTCATAATTACTCCATTGAAATGCAAACATACAGTAGTTCAGCAGAGGGTAGAATTGATTTGACCCAACTTAATCTTTTCGCATTAAATGACCAATTTAACAGGTTCTGTAGGCTCCCTATGGAGTAGATGAAGAGAGATGGACAACTGCAAGAGGGCTCCGCATCACTGCAGGTGTCTGAAAAGTAAGATAAAAGATTCTCTGCAGCAGATTCTTTTTATCCAGGAAAAATGAAAAAGCTACATTGGATCATCTCCAGAAATCTGCAGTTAGGTAATATATCTTGAATTTTCTTTAGGTGTTCAGAAACCTGGAAAAAAAGACATTGCAGATTCTCTGAGAATTCAATGGTGATTAAAAGCTGGAAGCAACTTTGTAACAGTAGCATCTTTCTTGAGTTCTCTCCAGTGCTGTCAAGGCAAATAACACTGAGGAAAAAAAAAAATATTATGAGGGTCTAGCTATTTCAGTAAGGAATTAGATTGGCAAGGAGATTTGAAGGGGATATATTTCTAGTTAATAGGCAGCAAAAGTTAATAGCAAAGAAAGGCTAGCTGGAAGATTTTAATATGGCCAGAGTGTAACTACAGAGTAAAGCAGACATAATTTTTATAGATTTGGAAATAGTTTTTAATACAGATAATTTGTATTGTACCACAGGGACCCACCTCCTGTATGCCCATTGCATAGCACCCTTAAAGCAAGTGTTTTTCTATCTGCGATGCACTTACAGGAACCAGCACAGTGTTTTCAGACACACATGTGGTTTTACGTCACAGAGTTCTGTTCTGACAAGATAACTGGCAAAATATCTTCACCTGTCCCACTGAAATAGGCTCATTTGACTCTGCTTTTGTAGCACTTTGACCCTACTTTTGTACCAGTGGTGTAACCCCACAGGAGCCATCACACTTGGACAGTGGGAAGCCATTGCACTCCCAGACATATAATTTAACCCTTATCACTTTTATTCCCCAAAGAGATCTAAACTCACATAATTTCTGCATTTAAAAGGCCATAACAATACATCCCATCTCTCCCAGCTACTCCCCAGGTAGCTATTTATGCACTGAATATGAACACATTTGGTAATATACACACTTGTTTTTTAAAGCAAACAGGAAGACAAATCCCCTTCCCTGGACCTGTAATGGATTCATCAGCTCAACACTGCTAAAGCCACACCAAATATCCACAAAAATTCCTATGAACTCTTCACTTAGTGCTTACTCCCTTGTTTCAAATGTGAGAACAGTTTCTAAAGGAGGCCCTTTTGGGGCAAGGAGTGTAAACATAATTCAATAGTTACCCTTTGAAACTTTGAATTGATGTAAAATGGAGCAAAATATTTTCTTCATATCTGTTCCAAAGAAGACAAGGAATCTTTTCTCTGGTACAGCAGCTGTAACCCAAAGAAAGAAACTAATATCTAGTACTTATCTAATTTACAGACAGCTGAATTCTAACTTCCATAAAGTGTTGGGGCTGGAAGAGAAATTATGATCTCACTCATTTCCATGCCTTATCTGTTGTAGGGAGAGCTTAACTATAGCATAATTCACCAAGTTCTGAAACGAAGTGTAGGCATTAATAGTACTTAGCAGCACAGAGCTGTTGCAAAGTCAAAAAGGTTTGGCACAGCAAAAGGTTTTGTCTCCCAATGCAAGATAACTTTTGTAGTTCAAACAATACCTGGGATTGATTTCTCACTACTGCCCTGGATATTACTGGTCCATTAAACATGAAGGTTTGAGTTTCACCAAACCAGTCCTGGATTGAAGAAGATCATGAGGTGTGCTCACTTGCAACTAAGGATTTTTAGCCACATGAAAAATACAGGTGATACATATTATTAGAGTTTTCTTGCTTTTGTCAAGGAAAATTTCTGAAATCATTGAGACCCCTCCAGAATTCAAGAGCAGAGCATACAAATGAGAGAGAGCAAGTGTTTCAAATTACGGTTTTGGACACATCTCAATAATTCTTATCAGCATTAGGCTGACGGGTCTTGCATGCCTATCTGTACCTTATACACTTCTACTCTGCTCCAGTACAGTAAGTAATCCAGAATTCTTGTATTTTTGGAAATAATGTCTTTATACTTCTGCTTTTCCTTTCCTTACATGCGAAAGGAGGTCAAGAATCTGAGAAAAGTTAGGGAGTACTTAAGGAAAACAAAAAGCCAAACAAACATACAAACACATTTGTACTATCTTGCATATTTAAAACTACAAGATAAAGTGTACTTCTCTGCTTAAGGTTGAATATTCTTTGCAGCAGCATCATTTTGTCAAGAAAATAAAGGGTAACAAATGCTATTAATTAAAACAATAAAATAAGCCACCAAAGGGATTTTGTCTCATTTGGTATCTTTACCGAAAGTTGAATATAAAAGCTGCTATTTTTGATACCTGCTGAGAACTGAGTCTAAATCCCTAGAACCTGTTGCATTTCTTAGCCCAGATATGGACACACAGTACTTGTCTGCAGAACAAGTGCTTACAGTTTCTTATATCCCTCACGGAAACTGCATTTCTCTAGATCTATTAAACTGGCCACATAATCAGGTTTCTCACTAAGGAATTAGATCCCCAAACACAGATATCTAATCTTTGAAAAGAAAATGTTCTCAGTCACTTAGTGTACCAAATGTCTCATGAGATATAATGATAAACTTTTACCTTTGGCTAGCTGCTTGAATTTTTAGTTAATATATACTGACCTAAAGCCACATTCGTCGGTTCCTTGTCAAACTGGTTGTTGTTTTTAATTCAGTACTATTTGGGGAACTGCTTATTGAATAAAGAAAACTTCCACAGAAGCACAAATTTCCAGCATTATTGGCTAATTAAGGCTTTGTCTACGCTGGCAGCTGGGGACTTTAGGCAATCTCATGCCCATATGCACTAACCATTTTACATTGTAAATCTCTTGGCTGGGTCTTAAGTGACAGTCTTGCCTGATGCTGCAAAAAATGTTGGCATGAGGCTGATCTGACCCCTTCATACCATGTGCTTTGAAATTATCTGGGCACACAATCTGTAAGCACTATAAATCGATCTGCTGCAGTCCCACAAGTCCTTGTTTCTGACTTCTTGCAGTTCCTGCATATCCTTTCTTTTCCTTTTGTCAGCCATAAGCACAGGCAATCTCAGGAAAAACCCAGAAAATTCACAATCAGCTGCTAAAAAAGCTCATTTTCACATGTTGCAAAGGAAACTGATTCACCTAAACATTCAGTCAAGTGATATGAAGCAGCAGATCCATGGTTTATAATCCTTGGGAATGTGGGGGAAGCAGTCAGTTCACTGTAGATAATGCAAAATTTGCCATAAGTATCAGGTCAGATTTCCCTTGTGCATCATGAGGACAGTGCTTCAAGGCAGCTCATGGCAGAGGCAAAACATTTAACAGGATAAGATAAAATTTACCTTAGAAACTTGTTTGATGCACAGATTTTTCCAAGGCTTTTTGCAAGGATCTTGCTTTTGTTATATGAGCACCTAAGAGCAAATTGAGCCTTGTGTGCATGTGCAGTACATAGTGAATAAAAATATTTTCAAGCTAATAGTCTTGAAAACTCAAGGAATGCTGGAATCCTTCAGACCACTCAGAAAACAGATTGGTTTTATTGAGTCCAAAGCAAGGCTTTTCTCTTTTTTTTTCCTTTTTTTTTCTTTTCTTTTTTCTTTTTTTTTCTTTTTTATTTCTTTTTTTTCTTTTTTTGTTTTTCTTTTTTGTTGCTACTCTTTACATTTTGTTCAGTGCCTAACAGCAGTTTCCGTCCTTAATTTCTGCAGTTCTTCTCCTTTTTTTTTCTCTCCAGATTTTCTGCATTTCTCATCATCATCACTACCTTTTATTCTTCTGATGAAAAGGATCAAATCAATGATGATTCATAGCCTTTGCCTTCTTGACCCCTTTCAGCTCCACAGCATCATGCATACATATGTAGTATAGCCAGCCAAAATCCTACTTAAATTTGTGTTACATCTAAAATTTTTTGTTTTTCAGGAAGTTTTCCTTTTCCTAGGAAGAAATAGACATGCTCACACTGGAGGAGGTGATATTTACACTAAGAGAACTGCATCCTTTCAGGAGGGACTGAATTTCCAGCTGGAAAAGGAAAGCAGGTGGGATAATGAGAGTGGATCTTCCCTGCATAGGCTTCAGGGTGAGCTCCTTAAAGGTGGCCTGGTTAGAAAGGGAAAATTACTGAGCAGAAGAAAATTTCTGCTAGAAAATACTTGCAGAGATATTCCCAGCCAGCCTGGCAGCTGTGAGCCTGGGAACTAAACTTTCATACTACAACATCCCTGACAACTGCATCTGGCCTCCTTAAAGTACAGCTGGGGTTCCCAGAAGCCAGAGATATCCTGAGATAGCACAAGAAATTGTAACAGCCATTTATAAGCTGAAAAAGCTGAAAACATACCGGGGACATGATCATAGTCTATAAAAAGCAAAATTATCATCATCTATTGGCTGGTTAAAGTGAAAATTTTAAATCAAAAACATCCCTTGGGTCCTTGTAGTGGTGATGTTCTGTGCTTTCTTATGTCTCTATGTTATAAAAGGACTTAAATTTTATCCAAATTGGAGCCTCTGTTTCTGAGAACATTTTGTTCTCTATTCCCTTCCCTTCCCTTCCCTTCCCTTCCCTTCCCTTCCCTTCCCTTC